GCACGGAAGCACGCGGGCCAGCGGTGCGCGAGGCGCGGGCACGAGCCGTGGGCCCTGCTCGGATCTTGGGCCTCCTAACCCGAGGAGCCTTATTTTCGTTGAATTAAGTCCCAACCCCAACCTACGTTCGCCCAGCCCTCTCGCTGCGCTAACAGCACACAGCAGCAGCATCGCATCGGGTTATTATTTTTTTATTAAGATCAAAATATTTGTCCCACTATGAACTGACTGATCTCACAATAAATAACAATAACTTACGTATTGTTCGGCAAAGGCTCACACACTCTGTCCTCCGTCGACTGATAATTTAAAACATTTTCAAGGAAAGTTTCGTTTCTACTTTTTTTCCAGCAATCATGCGATTTGGGGGATGGAGTGTCTGTTCCTCTGGATTATCCCCATCCTCTTCCCTGCTAGAGCCCGGGCGAAGCCGCCTAGGAGCTCAGGGCCGGGTTGGGGCAGACAGACACCGCATGGGCGAGCTCTGGGCGGGATCTGCGCGGGACCTGCCCTGCGCGTTCTCCACGCCGAGGTGGGTGCGTGGGCAGGGGGCGTGGAAACCCAGCGGCAGCAGCCCCGCGAAGCGAGGGAGAGGAGAGGGCAGAGATAACGCTAGTAAATCCCAAATTCTGGTTTTGTAAAAATAAAAGTCCTCGGAGCAGGGCTCTGCAGTCTGGTAAAAGCAGGTTTCGTCTCGGCGCGTTGGGCTGTCCCAGCCGCTTCTCTCAGTCCTCTCTCTTTAAATAATAATAATTACAAAGGCGAGAGAGTTTTCGGAGCTGGAATGGCCTGAGCATGGGTGAGTCTCATGCAGGGAGCATGCGAGGTCCGCGGGCTGGCGGGGAAGGGTCCCCCTCACGTTTCCACGGGACTCGGCACCATGCTGTTGGGGGTGTCCGGGAGCTGCGATGACAGGGAGGTCACGTCGCTGCCGGAGGAGTTGCCTAGGGAGCCAGACTCGGAGAAGGAGACCTGGGGCAGTGGAGACACCGGGAAGGAGCGGGTGAAGACGTGCCCAAGCTGGTTTTCCCGAGCCGCCTGCTCCGAGTCGGGGGTATCCCCTGGGACAAGCCGCCGGCTGGGAGCAGGCCGTTGAAGTCGGCCAGGTCCCCAAGCGCACGCAGAGGTATGGGGGGTGGGGTGAACTCGGGTTGGTTAATCCCTCGACCTCTCCTGCGAGCAATTAATCCAAGGAGACCTGGTTTAGGGAGAATTACTGGCCGGGTGCGGTTGCAGCTACTCACCCCACAGCGCCCCCCCCCCAGCCCCTCTTAGGGCTGTCCAGCTCCTCACCCCTTGAGAAACCCCCACCCCTTTCACCTTGGCTAAGTGGCCAAATCCACCCCACCTCCCCAGGAATCCTGAGGTCCGGGCAGGTAGGGCAAGGCCTCACCAGCTGCTGGAAGGCGGGTTGGTCCAGGTCACTCTGGAGGGCGAACTCGCTGAGCGCTTTCCAGGGCGGTTGGTACGTCTGCACCTCGACAGCGCTGCCCTGCACCGCGCTCTCGTGGCGGATGGGGCTGCCCGCAACCAGGGGCGTCCCGGTCAGTCCCTGGAGGCTCTGCGGGACAAGCAGAAGTAGGGGTGGGGGAAGCTCGAGTTAGATCTTGCGTTTCCCACCGCCTTTGAGACTGGGGCTCCAGGCACTGGCACGCGATTTGGAGCCTGAAACGATCTGGGGGAGGTGTACACTTGTCCGCAGCACAGTGAGTCCTCCTTCCCCATTGGAGTTGCCCCGAGCCTGAAAACCGCAAACATAGGCCTCAGTGCTGGAAGCCTACGGGGCAAGGGAACGACAGCGAGACCTGCGTTCTCCTCCCTCTCCAGGTTTGTAAAGGGAAAGTGTTCAGTCAAGCCGAAAGGGCACAACCCGCCCCGACTAGCGGGCGCGGCACTACCATGCCGCCTTGGGCTCCCAGATGGGCCATGGACCCCGACTCAGGTCTGCCGCTGGGACAAGAAGACCTGATTTCAAATACAGTAATTAAGGAGGCTTCAACCCCAAGGTAAGCTTTGCAAGCACAAACACAAGCTATCTGGAGAGTCCAATTCCCCCTGGATATCCCGCGAGCCGGCCCAGAAAACGGCACCTAGACGGCACGGCGCGGCGCGGCGCGAACCCGAGGCCCCACCCGATCCGATTCTCCAGCACCCTGTCCCACACCGTCTTATCGTTGTGCTGCTGCTGCTGCAGCTGCTTCATAAGGATGGATTTCTTCTTATCCTTGCAACGCTTGTTCTGGAACCAGACTCGGATGACTCGCGGGCTCAGGCCGGTCATCTCCACCAGCTGCTCCTTCATGAGCGCGTCGGGCCGTGGGTTGGCGGCGTAGCACGTCCGCAGAGTGTGCAGCTGCTTCTCGTTGAGCACGGTCCGCACGCGGGTTGTCTTCTCCGTCTGTTTGTGCACATGCGGGCGCAGCGAGGGCTGCCGGCCGGACCCCGGGTCTGCAAGGGAGCCAGAGGTGTGCGAGGGGCCGCCACCCACCCTCCCCGCGCCCGCCTCGCGGCGGCCGAGTCCTCTAAGACCCGATTTCGTTTCACTTTTATTCCCTTTGTTTCGCTTTATTGTTCAATTGCCTCCCTTGCCATCTGTTCGCCCTACCCAGAGAAAGGTGTGTATTTTTGTCCCTTCCCCAGTTCACCGAAGGGCTCCCCGCAGCAATCTCCTGCCGCGCAAGCAGGGCGTGGGAGTTCTGAGCTAGGCCTGTGTTGGACGAGAGTGGCGGCTCCCGGCTGTGCCTCCTCCACTTACCAGACCCTAGGAATGCCAGCATGGGCCCGGCGGGACGAGGTAAGCCCTCCGGAAGAAGTCGGCGTTTCAGAGGAAGAGGGAGGAGGCGCGCCAGGGACTCAGGAGGGGGAAGGAGACCCACGCGGACCCTGAGCGCCGCGCTGCGTCGGGATTAGGAGGCTTGCCTCCCGCTCCCCACGAGCCCTTCCCTCTGATTCAGAGGCCGCTAGGACCGGGCGGCGTGTCGTGAAGACCCGGCCTGGGGCTTGGGTGGGCCTCCAGGGCCTGGAACGGTTCCTTCCCGCCAGCCCTTGGGCCTCGGTCCCCCGGGTCTCCTCCCTCAAGGTTCCAGGTTCCCTGGACCAGCGGCCACCCTCCCGGCCTCCGCTCAGCCGCTGGCCCTCTCCTTACTTAGCCTTGGGTTCTCTCAACCCCAAGTTGAGAAGAATTGGGTATGCAGGATCTGACTCCCACTGCCCACAACCCGCAACAAACAAAAGGGAGCCGGTCGAGACCAGGGTGCACTCAACACTGACTTCATCCTGTTTCACACCCCAATCTGACCCAGGTCTACATACGCTTAGATATATGCCGCACTGTTTCCATTTCTATCCCCTTCCAGGCATCTCTAGGTCTAGATAAATATTTACAAATAGCCAGTCTAGCCCAATTTCCTCATTCTATAGGGGAGTAAAGGGAGGACCAGAGAGAATAGGGAGCACTTCAAGATCACACAGCACCCAGAGGCTCAGCCTGGTCTAGAGATTGGTGCCTCAGGTCTGTGGCTACTTGCTGGTAACTGCTCAGACAGGGGCACCATCCCTACCTGGTAATACCCCACACACACTCCTTTCTGGGCATCTTCTGATTAGGACCCAGGGCATCTCCGAAGGTGTTTTCAATGATCCCTGAGTCCATTGTGCCTCTACCCTTTCCCCACCAAGAAACGTTTGGTTAAGTTGTTCATCAAACTGGGCCTCAAAACACAAATGCAGACTCTCGATCTTTGTTGGGTGGTCAGCCTTCAGAGCTGTCTTTATGGGTGGGCTTCTGGCTGGCTGAGCCCAGCTCTAGGCCGGGAGCTGTACTCTACATGCATACCCTCAGGCAAACCTATCTTTCCTCTCTGCCAACATACACACTGCTTGAAATTCCCAATACAAATCCTTTAGACAAAGTCACCACTTCGGATTCCCTGTCGTCATTCACCTTCCTGCTCCTAGTACCATGTCCTACATATTCCTGATCACAGAGAACACAATTCTCCACAATTCCTTACCCTCACACATTCATACACACACAATCCCAGCTCACGTTTACCCACACGCAATTTTCTCCCGGCACACACGAACGCACAACTCAGCCTGGCTCCTAGCACACAGTTCTGCACTCACCCAGAAAACCCTACAATCCTCTGCAAACGGAAATATACCCAAGTGACAACTTTTCGTCCGAGCACAACCATCCCCCTAGGAACATACACACACACACATTCA